GAAAGAGGAGAAATGCAATCAGGGATAAAAATATGATTGACTTAAAAATCTACAAAAATCTAAAAGGGGAAGGAGGCAGAATTCAAGAGAACAATCCTTTCCATATTCATGAATCTGAGGCAAGGAAAAAAACAAAGCGTGTTTTGTCTTTTCTTAATTCTTCTTTTTAAAACCAAAATCCTCTGTCCTTGTACTCCAGGAATAGCCTTGCAAACACAATGTCCAAAAGCAATAGTTTCTGGTTATGACTATAGATCTATATTTTCCCTGTTGACCACTTTTCTCCTTGAACCTGGAGGACCTATAGCCCCATATGAGAGAAGCTGTAGATGTATTTAGCCACAAGAGCGAAGTTTTCTGTTAAATCAACCTGCTAGGAATTTGCAATGGAGCTAGTCTCCTATATGGATCTAGTTACTGCATACCCTGAACTCAACCTGTGGAAATTTGGAAGTCTATGCCTAGGAATTCATTCAACCCTGTCACCACTGTCTTCTCATTATGTCAAAGAAAAACTACTAACTGCCTTTTCTTTTCTTCCACTAATAGTAAGGCTCCTTCATTTAACAAGAAAACCAAAGAAAGCAAAAGAGCACATTAACTACGAAGGCAATCCTTGGGGCTTATACATTGTAGGAGAGGAAAGAGCAGAAAAAGGCACCAAATCCTTGTATGGTTTGATGTGATATTTCCCCTCAAGACACTGACACATGTCTTCCTTACTAAATATAGATGTTCACAGAAGCCACTCAGCAGGACTTGAGATTTGTCGAACACATACACACACAGATGGATGGATAGATAGGTATTAAATCACGTCACAAGTCACAATTCACAAGTACTATGCCACAGATGGCAAGAGAATGAAACGTATGGTTCCTTGAGCTGTGATAAAAGTGATTTTCATGTTTTCCAAAGTGGGAAAAAGAGCATGACCGGGCTACATGGCTACGTCCCATAAAATATGTGATGACCCATGGCTGAGCGGAAGTTTGAGAACGTGGCAGCGACCAGAACAGCCGGACCATACACTTCACAAAAAGAGCTCCTTACTGGTATTTTTTATAATACTCTTAAAGATGCATATTAAATAATTACTTCTGGACCACAGGCACAATTGAACTTAAAAATCCAAAGGCCTATAAATATTGCCAACCCAACCTTGCCTTTTTGTATCTCCCTGCTTGCATAAAATGGAATCTTTTCAACCAAGCGCTTAAACATAAATATTAAAATAATAAGTGGGACAAACTACAAACTACTTACAATTTCATCACTACTGTAGCACCTTTTTTTTTTTTCTTTTAACCAGGGCCGATGCATTCATTTTGTAAAGAACAAGAGAAGTCTGAGAAGCTTAAGGACTCGTATGACACATCATTAAATATTTAATCACCTTTTTTAAGTCTTAAGCCTTTATCATATTTCATCCATCTAGACAGTTCATTCTATACTATAGATTCCAAGGCCCTCTTGCGGGGGAGGGGAGGATAAATGGGGAAAAAAACCTTCTGAGTGGCCGGGTTAAATTATCTCAATAATGAGTTTCCACTGGCGCTCTTGTGAACTCGCTTCACCCTGTAAACCCACCAATCCACAGGAGGGTCAATTGACTGAGTCCACTGTTTTTAGTCTCCAAGAATCAGTTTTACAAAAGATGCCACGTCTGTTCCTTTGGATTCGTGTAGGGTGAAAAAAGGATGTTGCTGGGAAAGAAAAGAAAAAACAAAACCAAACATGGTATTAATATCTGTTACTGAGAAAACATGAGATTAGCAAATTAACAGACCTCTTTGCTAAATGGATTAAGTACATCTATCAGGTTCACGGAGTTCCTGGGTGATGCAAATGGTTAAAATGCTTGGCTGCTAATTGAAAGGTTGGAGGTTTAAGTCCACCCAGAGGCACCTTGAAAGAAAGGCCAGGCGATCTACTTCCAAAAAATGAGTCACTGAAAACTCTGCGGAGCACAGTTCTACTCTGACACACATGGGGTCGCCGTGAGTCAGAGTTGACTTGATGGCAACTGGATTTTGGATCAGGTTCAAGCCAGTCCTTTCCCACGCTTCCTAAATCAAGCACACATCTAGTGATGCAAACATTTTAAAGACATTACTTAGTTGCCAAAACCAAAAACCAAACACACTGCCATTGAGTTGATTCAGACTCATGGTGACCCCACAGGGTTTCCAAAGCTGTAAATCTTTACAGAAGCAGACTGCCACATGTTTCTCCCCAGGAGCTAACGGCTGGTGGCTTCGAACCACTGACGTTTTGGTTCACAGCCGAGCGCTTTAACCACTGTACCACCAGGGCTCCTTAATTAGTTGCCACGTCTCCTATCTTGATATCCCTCTGTTTCCACTACAGAGAATCTATTGCTTTAGAGAAGAAATGGGCTATGTAAGAATTAGGCTATGTAAATCTCATCTTTGGTAAAATACAAAGATTAGCAAAACTCTGATTTACAAATAATCCTGCCCCCCACAAAAGATAATTTTAGACTGGTGTAGTAGAAAAATAATTAGAAATTCCATAGATGTATGCACTTTTCATTTCTCAGGAAATGGTGGTAAGAATGAAAAACCCATTTTGTACAACAGTAGATGTACAAGGCAGTCCTGCCCTTGGCATTGGAGAGCGGGCTTGGATGGCGATAGTTAACAACGACATGTTCTAAGCTACATCT